ATTTATTTGAGATAATCAATTAAATATCTTCTGAATAGATTATAACAATAAGGTTAATTATAATTTATTTATATTTTCATTATTTATATTATTATGTATTTTTAACATAAAAAGGATTATCCTCTAAGAAATAAAGGTAATTTGTATTTTTACAATAATTAAAGTACCTGTTCAAAAATACTTATAATTTATCTTGTTGAAAAGTAATTCTTACAAATGTATAAAAATTATATTTTTCAAAATAATCAATTTTTGAAACTTAAAAATTAATTTGATAATGATAATTACATTAAGGTAAATAACTTGAATTGTAAAATGCAAACTACAAGAGCAAAGAAAAATGAAACTCTAAATTAACATAAAAAATTTTTAAATTGCATACAAACCTAATCCCCTTCAATAAGTGCACCAATGGATTCAAATAATTGCTTGATTGACCTTGGAACATGTAATGGTGTGATTGTTCCAGCTTTGGATTCCATGCAATCACTCTGGCAATTTTTTTATCTTGTATTTTTTCTATATAATTAATTATATATCTTGGTTAAAATAAAAATAAAATAAGATACAATATTGCTATTTAATACTTTCCTCATGTGTGAATTCCTTTGTCTCCATATTCATCACAATGATTATTCAATACATTTGATATCATCATTGACATAACAAACAATTGCATCACCCAGGTAGTAACAATACCAAGGCCATGCATAAATGAAACTTTTAACAATGCATGTCTACCCAGACCTCTGGGATTCACAATAATAAATTATTCTTCCTGATTATCAATTATTGTTGCTCATAAATCTGATGTTGATCACAAGTGTCAGATTTAATTAAAATTTTCCTGTCACAAACATGCAAGCGTAGTGCAAAGCACCCTCCTGCACTGTGGACCTTTTTCCGCGAGTGAGAGCAACTTGGACAAGTTGGAAGGCTTTGGACAAAATTTTCCTTATCTTCCTCTCAGACCAGGCTTGACTGTTACCATATGAGCATTGATCACTGATAGCTGGTGCTTGTGTGATGATTGCTTTGTGTTATATCTCTAGAATAAAGTTGGTATCTGCAACAGGTTCAAAATCCTGCACCTTGGGAGGTTACAACCTGGGTTGCTGTTTTAGATTTTCCCTAAATTTAGGCACATCAACATGCCAACAACCCTACCCCATTTAAACAACAAATTCAGTTGGTCAAATAAAGTTTAGGGAAACAGAAAATTTATGAAAATAATTAATTTATAACATAACATACCAAAACCCAAACCATTTTATGACTTTTTCCTTATTGGCCATATTGCTGACAAGGATGTATATAATCATGCGATAATTTTAACCTACAGGTCAGGGGGGCTGATTGGGCAGAAACCCATCCCAGTCCCCTACCCAAAATTATTAAATTGGTTAGAATCAGAGAAACAGAGAATTTAGGAAAATGATTATACAAAACAAACATTATTTTACAACTTTCCTCCTAACATCAGAGTCCAAATGCAATTTCAGGGTCACCAACCCTGCCCTGGATTGTGACCTCCTGTGCTTGGAACGAATCGCAGATTCTCTTAATATTCCTCCAGAGTTGCGACTTGGTCACAGAGCCATCCTTGCCCTAGAGGTGGGATCGTTGCAGGCAACATGCCAGCGGCCATCTCTGATCTGGGAAGATTAGTGAAAGTGTCATTGACGATTGATGCAGTTTTGGTAAATTCCAAAGCCACGCAATACCCTTGGAATTTGGTTGCATCATTGTATCATCGATCAATCAGGTCAGATTAGCCTTGTGTACACGAGGAAGATGTGAAAATGACTGTAAAGTGTTCAAGGTAGCGTGCGTGCTTCAACACCTGTAAAATTCCGATAATCAAACATCGCATATCAAAATGTTTCATATTCAACGGTGTGCTGCCTTGACATCTTCTTGTAATTATATAATATTAGTATTATTAATGATTACGAAAAGTCAAATACCAATCATTTGTTTACCATCTTGATGAGATTTTTATAATTACTTGGCAAGATCTGCTCGCGTTTTGATTTCCAATTAAAATGTTTATATAAAATAAAAATAAAAAAAAGTACCTCTATTATTAACACGTATTCTTTAGGAGACCCAAACCAAACCAAACAACAACGTTCACGTTTTGTCATCTTGGACTCTGTCAAAAAATAAATTGTTTTTCCAAGTAAGAAAAAAAAAATCAATTCGCGCCTGTCCTACCAAAAAAAAACCAATAGGATAAATAGTTGATGTGTACACATCAATCAATCATAAACTTCTTGTTCTATTGTATTCAAGATGCCAAAAAACAGAAAGAAAAAAAACAATAGAAACGAACAAAATTCCAACAAAAATACATACAGGTAAGTGTTTCAAGGATGGTGGTGGTGGTTATCGCCCACCACTCATTGCTTTAGTTACTTATTAAAATAATTCATCATCTTTTAAGTTCTATTAATAACAAAAACTTGGAACAACGACCAAAACGAACATCTAAAGTAAGTGAATTTTTAATAATTTGTAATGGATTACCATTGAATATCTCCTGAATATAAATAAACTTTTAACAAAAAGCAAGCAGCACGTAAATATATGGAATACAATCTACCACAGAAAATTTTTATAAGTTTGTGTATTGTACCTTTAATAAATTATAAATGGCACTGGGATAAGATTGATGTATGGAATTCATTGTGTAAAAAAAATGAACCTATAAAATTGTAAGTAAAATTTACTTTTCTGTATATTATCAATCTTTGAAACATATGATCATGCCTCTAATCTTATGATATTGTTTTTTTATTAGCCTGTTGCAAATTGGAGTAATTAATTTCAATGATAATTATTGCACAAAATTACTCCCATCATCAATGATATCCAATATTCAAAGTCAATTAAAAAATGATGATGTTGATATAATTTATTTCGATGATAAAAAAGAACATGGCATAGAAAAACTTAAAGTTGATATTGATGAAATTGTAGTTAATTATCTAAAGAATTTTGAGAATTGTGTAAATGTCTATTTTCTTCAAATAATTATAGAAAATTCAACATTAAAAATTAATTGTAATATTTTTACAGTATACATTAAATGAACTAAGACAGGCATTGAATAAGAATAATGTACATGCAGAAACAAACACACCATTTAATCTAAAATATGCTTATCAATTCTTTAATAATATGTTAGTAAATTTTTTTTAATTTTGTAATGGCATTAGTAAAAGATGAAGTTTTGTTACTAATATCTATATTTTTTGAATTGTGATTTTCATAATGAAGGTACAATCTTTATTCAAATGATATACTTATTAGAGACTTAAGTGAAGATGAACTTTCAATATATGTTTGGAGCTCACTTATCAACCATGTTTTTATTAAAATAGGTTACAACATAAAATTTTCTAGGTAAGAAAATTAGTCTTTCTAAACTTTTTTTTGTCAATCTATAATATTAATGATTAGAAACTTGTAAAATTTTGTTTTCTAAATTGTAGTGGAGAACTTTCCTCACAATCTTTTGAAAATTTGAAAAAATTAGCTCAGTTGCGGTCTAGGTCAGGTCCTAAGCTTGATTCAAAAGCTACCATGATGTCAGTTGATGCAGAGATTTTGTTACATGAATCTTCAAAAAAAGATGTGTCTAATAAAAGGATAAATGATTGTAAAAAGCTTGAATACTGCAGTAAAGTTTTGTTAGCCAGTGCATTCTTAGAGCTACCTACAAGTTCAAGGTCAGATATTCATAAATTTGAAACATATATGATTCAGACAAATGGTAAATAGTCACTTATTGTTATATGAAAATTGAGTTCTAAATAAAAAATTTGACAAATATTAATTAATTGATAATATGATGTTTGCTCTTTTTAGGTCTTAAATTAACATTGTCAGTAGCAGGTTACTTATTTGAAGATACAATTTGTATATTTGATCTAACAGATATAGTTATCCCAAAGACAGTAGAAGCATTCCCCAAGTGTATTGAGGCTGTATACAAGATTCTGTCATGGAAGGTTTGTATCTCATTTTATTATATATTATTTTTGTTTATTTCCTCCTACTAAATTAAATTTATCTTTTTCTATAAGTCACGTGTAAAAAGGAATGCTAAAGTCTTTCATGAATTGTTATGTAAACCAGTATCTCATTTAAGTGAGCATAAATTTTTTTCAACAAAAAATCTAGTCAATCCACATTTAAAGTGAATTTTTACAAAGTATCTTGAAATTTAATAGCTTATTTCTTAGCAAAAATAGTTTTTTTTTAAAATAAACATCAATATCACTCATTAATTAATTAGTTTAAGAATTATAAGAAGTAAATAATTAAATTGATGTAACCTTTACCATAATATTATTGCATGTTCCATCCTGCCTTGCTTTTTTCAATGCAGTTTCAAAGTCCTTGTGTGTTGTTGTTTGAAATCTATATAATTCTTAATTATGTATATACTTGCCGCCCAAGGTATTGCCCAATCCCAAATCCCAAAGTCATCCCAAATCCCAAATTCAAAACAACAAATCAATTATTTTTTATTTTCAAAAAATTGGATATATATACAGATTCAAATAACTGACATTATTTAATTCCAAATTAACAAAAGATTTATTTAATTTTTAACTCTATTTAAAATAGTGTCAACATCAAAATTAAGATCATCATGTCATGAATAAATTCTTTAGTTAATATTTCACTATTTGTTACATACATATGATTTAAATCAATAAAATTTTTTATATCTAAACATGAAATATTTTCCCCACCTATATCTAAAGGTTCATCACTATCACCAATATTGGATTCAACCAAGTTGTCATCATAGTTTTTGCTTTGAAACATTTCATTATTAGAGTAGCAAGCAACAGGTTAATAATCACCACCATCTTTTTAATATACAAAAAAAAATAACAACAAATATTATTTAATTCTAAGCAAATTTTTATTATTTTTATATGGGGTCAGCTCTATATATCACTCAAGATAGAAAATGGGATATTATTATTATAAAACTGTTAATTATAATCACGTTACAAATGACTAAATTTTGAACCCTGAAATTCTGGTAATACCAATGTTCACTTTGTCTGGTTTTGTTGCAGCATGCCCCATATATAAAATAGAAAATCTGACTTGTGTAACAAATCAATTTTTTAAAATATAACAAATTCAAACATTATTATTAATCAAATATAAAACTATGACATTATCAGTAGGGAGAGATTCAGTACGGTATAACTCTTGCAGAACATATGGTATGGTATGGTACAGCAAATATTTTTCCATACCAAGTCACACAAAATTTTATTCTAAATCCTTTTTGGTGGGTGTGAAGGGAAGTAAGTTAGATTTAAGCATTGGTATACAACCATTTTATTACACTTATGCAATACCATACCATACGTTTTGCAAGAGTTATACCATACTGAATGTCCCTATACTCATTTTTATCTTAATATTTTGTGTACCCTCTACGCCACATATTACGTCATGTTACACATGTAGATCATTACATCATTTCTATTTTTATGACATAATTATTTATTTCGAATTACGGTGCAGATCATCTATAATCATTAATTGCTTATAGTAACAATTGGTCAACTTCAAAATACTAAAACAAAAAA